TTTTTTTATTTTTGTTAGTTATATTTATTATTATTCTAAAACAAAAGGAATTTATAGATGTATATTTCACGGTAATGATGTATATTAAATGTTAGGTAAAATTTTAAATTTTGATCAGTAGAAAAGAAGGTTTATTCACAAATCAATAGACATATATTGTATATTTAGGTCTAATCCTATGGAATATTTCTAATTTATAAAATTAACTAAAAGAAATAGATCCTCTTGAACAATTAATACAATTTACAATTAAAAATAAAGCATTAAATGACTATAATTTTTATGTGAAGAAATTTTAATTAAATGGAAAATAATATTAAAAATTAATGAAGTTGTAAAAATAGCAGAATATGTATATTTTAATTTTTATATTACATAATTATAAAATATACAATAAAATAGAATTTATTGCAAATAAAAATAAAATAAAAAATATAGAAATCAAATTTTATTTAATGTAAAGTCTTTTAATTTTTTTAGATTCAGGTAATGGATTATAAGTAAAATAAAGTATACAATTTTCATATTCAATAATTTCTTATATTGTAGATTTTCTTTTTAATGAATTTCTACCATGTTTAAGAGATTTACAAAAAATGTTAAAACTTGATTATGATTATTTTTTTTTAATTGCTAAATATGAAAATACTTTAAATTTCATCTTTTATATTTTTTCAAAAGTTCTTATCTATGATATATTAGTACATGAATATAAGGAGTTATTTGACTTAGTAAATATAATTCTTATATAAATGTTTTTAAATTATTAGAATCATTCTGTGATAGTGTAAGAAATAAGGATAGTCAATCAAATGCTTAATGTTTTAACTATTCTAAATCAGTAGTATTATTTCAAATTGTATAATATAATTAATAAAATTGATCCTAAAGGTTTCTAATTAGTTGAACTTGAAATTATTAAAAAGTAATACTAAATTAAAGAATCTTAAAATCTTTTTCTTGTCATCTCCTATAAAGGATATATATTTCCAATTATAAGAATTCTTATTTTTTTAAATAAAAAGATACTTTTAATTATTGCATCTCTTTTATAATAATTTCTTGTATTAAATTATTAAATAAATAATGTTCTTTAATCTATGCTAATACTAATTTTTAAAATCAATCTGTAATTTGTAGAAAAATATATAGTTCATCAAAAATTATATGATCAATAGCAATTATATTAAAGAGGGATAGAGAAATATGACTATTAATATTTTTATATTTTGTCGTAATCTACTTTATAATTTTTTAATATGCCAATTTTTATCTAAATTGCTATATTAATTTTTGAACATAAATACCAAGGATAAAAATATTTGGATGTAGGATTATTTAATTCAAGATATATTATTAAAAACTTTCAATTTGAATTGAAATATAACTTAAAGTTCTATAAAATTTCAGCTACTTCTAATCCATATTCTTTTAATAAATGTAGGTTATCAAAAAATAGTTTTAATATAAATTTAAGTGTATTATAATTCTCTATTTCTAAATATAATATTATAATATTATAATATAGTAATAATCTACATAATAATAATACTTCTTATAATTTAAAATCATAAATATTACTATAATATATCCTATATTATATTCATCATTTAAGATACATAAATAAATAGTAAGATCTGATGATTTCAATATCTTCTTTTTTTCCAAATGAGAAATAATGTAATAAAGAATATCTTTTATATTTCAGTAAATATTATACTATTATATTAATAGCCTCTTAAGTAATTTCTGGATTTGTAAATTTTGATTCATCTAATTTTAAAGTTTTTTTTAATTTATTTTTTTATTTATATTAATTAATGATATTTTAATTAATTAATTCATGTGATTAGTTATTGCAATACGTTCATTTAAAATAGAATTTTTACATGATAAATGAATCTTCACAGCTGTTAATTCTTGATAAAAATTTTTAGATATTTGACCTTAATTAACTGCTTTTACTATAGAGCAAAGTTAGTTAGTTTTATTAATTTTATTTTTAGACCCATAACTTACTTAAAAATAATTTGTTACATTAACAGAAAATTTAACATTTTTTAATATAACTTGATCAGATTAGTGATAAATTCCTTAATATTATTTCTAAAATTAGATTGTATTTTTATCACAATTTTTCTTAGCATATTTTTCAAGTATTGATGAAATATAATTAATAGTTAATTTAATTAAATTTTCACTTTTTTGATTCATATACTTTTTGTATACTATCTAATTGTAATCCAAATAATAGAAAACCTGAAATTTAGTTTTAGTTTCTAGTTTTATTAATTAATGAAGTAAATAATTTAATTAAATAAAAATTTATATAAAATTTATATAACAATAAATTAGTTTAATTAATTAAATATTTGCCTGTTCATATTTTATTGCTACATCAGTTGTAGATTTAGTTGAAGATCTAACATTAAAAATTAGAGTTATACTTGATCTAAAATTGAGATATTATATTTATATAATCTATTTTACAACAAACAGTTCGTTTCTTAGCAGCTTGACCTCAGGTTATTTCTATAATATAATCATATAAAATTTTATATGATTTTTTTTTAAAATTATTATTTTATTATTCATCTTTAATTCAATTTCATTAAGGTAAATTTTTTCTTTTATAATATTGTAATTAAAACTCGTTTAGTAATATTATTTACATATTCATAATAAAGAATTTTATGATCAAGTGGATATGTGATATCTTTTATAATTTGAAGTTTGTTTTTATTATTTTCTTGATCACTAAAATTTACTGTATCTGATTGTATTGTTTTTAAAAAAAGGTAAATTAATCTTCATATGACTAAACTAACATATCATATTTATATTATATAAATTCTATTTAAAAAATTTTATTACACAATACAAGTAATACAAGATTTTTCTATGTATGTAAATTTATTTATTTTTGCCATATTTAACATATCTGTTATGTTTCATATTTAAATCTTAAAATAGAAATTTATTAAATAATAAAATAAGCTATAAAGGCGTAAGTAATTTTTATTAATTTTTCATTATTTAAAGTCAACTCTTATTATAACGAACTCTATGTTCTAGACCTCATATTCGCTATAAGGATATAGTAAAGATTTTAAAAGATTTGATTGATCAATTCACTATAACAAGAGTATTTTTATTATATTTGTTCAAAAATTCATTATATCAAGAGTTTGTTATATTAAGAGTTGACTATAATAATATTATTTTATATGAATAACCCTTCAGATACTAAAAATTTATTTTTTAAATATTATTTTCATATATAGTATACTGTATATATTAATGATCATCATATTAACCAATATAGATAATACAGTCTTTCTTTCTGCAGATTAGCAGATATACTATTAATAATAAAAATACTACTAATAAGATTAATATAAATACTAATAATATTAAATATACTAACTATAAAATAATGATAAAAATAATAATGATAACAGCTATATTATTATTGATAGATTTATCAATTTTGATAGTTTTGTTAAATTTATTCAATTTTTCAAGTTTGTTCAGTCTGTAGATTTCTACTAGTTTAATTTTTTCTCTTAAATTTTGGTTTTCAGATCAAATTAATATTGCTTTATTTAATGCTTGTTAATTAATTTAATGAGAGCTTTTCTGAGACATTCTAACAAGGTAATCTGTCAAGTATTATTGAGATTAAATTCCTATAGTTTTGATTTAAGGATTGGATATAGATATATCAAATTCTATTCGATGTAATAGCATTCATTAGCAGAAGAAAGTAACATCAAATTATTGTAAATAGTTAGATCAATTGTAGAGACAGGTTAATAAAATGAAACCCAATCATCAGTAATCATTTTGAGTTTGTGGGTAGTGTCAGCTGCTCGTTGAAAATGTTGGTTGACTTTTCTTTTAACATTAGACTCATCTGTTAAGAGCTCTCTTGAAGTTGAATTATTAACCAAACATCTGTTTATAATTATAGTTTTCCTAAAGCGATTCAAGGCTGAATAGATCATTTTGAACTTGTTGTTAGCATAAATCATCTAATCTCTTGCTGAGTGCTTTGTTGAATTGATTGTAATTTGTATTCCTTTTTATGAAGTTTGGTTTTATATAAGATATCATTAAGTAGAAGATCAGTGTCAGCTAATAAGAGATCAATGAAGGCAAAAGTATAATCAGATGTAGAATGCGCTGAAATAAAAGACAAATGATTGGCAATTTTAATAAATCTAGCATAGTTCTGAGGCCAGTTCTGAAGAAAAGTATTAAACCATTTGATTTTAATAAATAATTGTCTAAATTTATGTAATTGTTTTTGGTTCGCGTAGAGGTTGAAAAGTAATAAGAAGCGGTTATAATATAAAAATAATATAAACAAAGAATAATAAATGGTACTTGTTTGCTACTATTTTTAAATAAAATAGTACCTAGGGCTGTACGACAAGGAAATCAGTACCAATTCACAGCCCAAAAAAATAAAAAAAATAAAACACATTTTACCCTCACTGTGAATTGTTAAAAAAAAACAAAATCAATATAGTTTATTCTCGCTGCAATTATATTAATTATAAATAGAACTTGCAAGGCCATTGTCACCAGTAGTCACGATTAATTTCTGACCAGAAACTTTAATGCCGGTCATTTCGTGACATTTCGTGAAGATTACACTGAAGTAATCTTAGATTATACTGCATCATAAATATCATTCTATTAGAATTGATTAATCGAAATCGAAAACTCGTAATCAATTCTAAAATCGATTTGACTTTTTTGAATCGATTTTAATCCATAATTTATTGTGCCATTTAAATTTCCATAATTTGGAATCTAAGGAAAGTTTTTACAAGTTATATGAAACTTTATTAATAATATAATTCAGCTATCATCATATTTAGTGATTATTTACTTTAACTGCATATACTTTTTTTTTATGAAATATTAGACGCGTTGTAATATTTATGTGTAGTTTAACTGACATTTATGAACATATTAAAATAATAAATCTTTTAATAATCCATTTCCATTGGTAAAGTATCTATATCGGGATAACCATCAAAAGAAAATACAGAACCCATCTCTCCTTGATGATCTTCATCCAATTCAACACCAAATGTTAAGCCTTCTCCATCAACGTCTACTGTATCATCTTGGTGTGCTTCTAAACTAGAAGCTTCTGTATTTGCATCTTGAGTATTGTTGACTGTTTGTGGCGTAGCAAGTTCTTCAGTATATTGGGAAATAATTTCCAGTTCTTCTGGCTCTATTAAGTTTTTAAAGTTAATTACATTGTTACCATGAACTTTAAATAAAAAAATTTATTTACCTATAGGAATACGCGTATCTAATGCTTTATAAACACGTAATGGATTAATTTTACGTTCTCTTTTATATTTATTTTTAACTTGATCACGAGATTTTCTATTATTAAATATTTTTCTCGATATAATCTCAAAATCAGTTCCCCAACGTGACAATGCCTAAATACTTGATTATTAAGTAATCAGTATTAATAACAGATAACAACTTTTGATTGACTTTACATTACCTTAAAAAATAATTCTGTATCTTCAATTGTCCATCTTTCATTTTTTCTTGGTTTTTTAGAGTAAGTAAATGAATTTACAATATGAGAGAATTTATCTTCTTCTATAACTTCCATTCCTTCGTCATTTTCGTAAATGTGTGGACGCGAATCTTGTTCTTGACGAACTGTATATTGTCCATCTGCATTTACGAATCTACTACCACGCGCTGTAAACACGCGGCTTTTATTTTTTTAAAAAAAAAAAATAATAATTTAAATTCGAAAAAAAAAATTACAAAAATTTATTAATAATATTAACAATATTAATTACCGTTTCATAAGAGTTGGCTTGTCGTTTTGATTAGAATTTTCATCTTGTATCTTTTCATATTATTCGCTACATTAAAAAAATAAAATTCATTAATGGATGACATTATTGCGCCACATTACTGCGCAATTTTAGTATGTAAGGTGATACAAGAATTACGTATGATTTTCCTAAATTTTTAAATAATTCGCCGATCAATTTATATATCGAAAACTATTTGAATTCAAATGTTCAGAAAGTCAAAGTCATTAATCCGTTCAAAAGCAGGTAATATTATAATTTCTCAAAGCCGTTTCGATTTTCAATTTGTTTACATATATTGTATTAAATTAGGTAAGTCGAAAGGAACAATTATTGATATTCCTGGAAAACAAATAGGACCGACTCCAATTATAATACCACAGTCTTCGAATTCACTGGAGACAAATAGTAGTAATAAAGATGTAAGAGGAGGTGAAAATGAAAAGAGACAATCAATTCCTATCATTTCAACAGCTTCACGAAATCAAGAAAATAATGATTCAACTATCTCTGTTATGGAAACTCGGTCACAAGATATAAAGGATAGCGCAATACCTTCTACTCAATATGAAACGAATTCAGATGTTATTGTAATAAACGAGGAAGGGAGTACAATTGATGTTGTCAGTCAAGCATCGCAAGATATTTTGATGGATGATTCTCAATTTATGTTACAAGCAAAAACGCGTTCTAGTGTGGAACAATCTAAATCTTCCGAGGACAAAACGCAAAGACGTTCTCTTCAAAAATTTCCTACAAGTCCGAAAATTATCCTTTCATTTACCAATGATTCGGTGGTTAAATCATCCTCTTCCTCAAATTCCAACACTTCTCACAAAAGTGTTATTGAATCACAGAGTGCTCGACAAGATGATGCAGCAACTTCCCAACATACGAATGTAGAAGAATCTGATGTTGCAACAGAAGATTCATCAGTCCGATCAAGACAACGTAAAGCACCCAATTCTCGTAGTAAGAAACGAACGAGATCAAATAATGATGATGAACATTCCGAAGATTCAACATTAGCAACATCATCATCATCGAAACAATCAAAACGTCGTAAACGTTCTAGTTCTGTTACATCCATAACATCTTCAACTAATACTGATGGTAGTTCTACAAAAAGTAATTCTACAGCTACCGGTAAAAAACGACGAAGTAAACCACGCAAACCACGTTCCACTACTCGTAAACAACAAACCAATAAAAGTCGGGCGAAACCTTGGGAAGATGGTCCCGAAGATGAGAATCCACTTGATGATTCAACAGTTACAATGGCTGAATTATGTAAAGATTTAAAAAGAGGTCGTAAATCTAATACTTATAAAGAATTAGAATATGCTAAATATCAAAAATCGCAACAAAAGCGTAGACAACGTGACAATGCCTAAATACTTGATTATTAAGTAATCAGTATTAATAACAGATAACAACTTTTGATT